TTGATTTTTTTTTTTTTTTTTTTTGTTGTTGTTGTTGGTCTTAAACATGCCGTAATATTTAGTGGTTATAAGACATCTTGAAACTTGCGGTATTAAACATGTCATATTATTTTTGTGACTATAAAAGTTTCTCATTAAGGGTAAACTAGTAAGTTAAGTTGAATTGTTTCTAAATATAGAAGTGTATCATTCTTTTAGAAACGGAGTAATGGGAGTGTGACATAAATATTCTATTGGGAGCTGTCATTTAGAGCTGCTTAGAGGCTTTGTTAAATATATTTGGATGCTTTCAAGAATTTAATCTATTAATATTCGTCCTGCAGATTTTCATATAAAAGAAAAGAATGCGACTTCTGGCTTCCTAATATACTTTTTATTAAGCTTTTAAAGTGTTCCTTTAATATTGCAAGTTGTGTAATTTTTCGATGTAGGTGAAATCTTTAGGTTTTATTTTCAAAGACAAATCAATCTGTGTCTAATTTTGCTGTTATTGTTGACATGAAATGCAGAGATCTAATTTTACTGCAGAGGTTTCTTAAGTTTATTTAAGACTTAATTTGTTTTGGAATATGTGATTGGATTAATCAGCATTTATAATTGTTGATTGGATTAATCAGCATCGAGTTTAAATGGAGTAACGTGATTAGTGATGATTCATGTAGTTGACCTCAACTGGTTGTTGTTTATGATTGCCAAACAAAGTTTCTGCTATAATTATAAATGCAATTGGGGTTTATCCTTTTTGATTGACTGTATCCTTTTCAATTTCCTAGTAGTTTTCATTGAAGTATGTAAATATCATCTTTATCTCATCAGTCTCCTGGTAAAGTTGTTCCCATGTGACCAGGAAGTCACGAGTTCGAGGCGTGGAAACAGTTTCTTGCAAAAATGCAGGGTAAGGCTGCGTACAATAGACTCTTGTGGTCCGGCCCTTCTCCAGACCCCGCGCATAGTGGGAGCTTAGTGCACCGAGCTGCCTTTTTTTTTTTTTCCGTCAGTCTCGTGATATGTAAGAGGGATATTCAATGCGGGTCCTATCAGTTTTAGGCCTTTGATATATGATTTTTAATCTGTATAACAGCAGCATAGGTGTTGAATTGAGAAGAATTATTGACAGATAGTCCAAATTTGATGGATTCTGAGTTGTTTCACCTCTTTGTTTTAGGTTAGCAGCAACCGCTTTTAATCACAGTATCTTGAACTGTGAGCTATGGCCTCAACCCTGGAAAATGAAGCTCCTTCCCCCCAAAGTATATTCATTCTATCTGGCCAAAGTAACATGGCTGGTCGTGGTGGAGTAGACAAGCATAAGCATTGGGATGGCGTCGTACCAAACGAGTGCTCTCCCGATGCTTCTAGAATCTTCCGTCTTAGCGCAGATCTCCACTGGGAGGTTGCACGTGAGCCGCTCCACCATGATATTGACGCCAAGAAGACTTGTGGTGTTGGACCTGGAATGTCATTTGCAAATGCGGTCAAGGACCGTGTAAAAGCTATTGGGTTAGTGCCATGTGCTGTAGGTGGAACTGCGATAAAAGAGTGGGCGCAGGGGGAGCATTTGTATGAGAATATGGTAAAGAGAGCAATAGCTTCAGTGCATCAAGGTTTAGAAATCAAGGCACTGCTTTGGTATCAAGGGGAGAGTGATACATTATCTCAGCATTGCGCTGAGACCTATAAGGCTAATATGGAGAAGTTAATACATAATGTTCGCGCTGATTTGCATCTGCCATCTCTGCCAATTATTCAGGTTAGCTAATATAGTTTGCTTTCTTTTATGGAATATTGATAGGTCCAATGTCATTTTCACATGTACTCGTAACGGTTGCATTGTCTTACAGGTTGCAATTGCATCAGGAGATGAGAAGTACATTGAAAAGATTCGAGAAGCGCAAAAGGGGATTGACCTCCCAAATGTTGTATGTGTTGATGCCATGGGATTGCAGCTTAAGGAAGATAACCTCCATTTAACCACAGAGGCCCAAGTTAAATTAGGCCAAATGTTGGCCGATGCATACCTTACTCATTTTGCACCACAACAACCTTCTGTGGCTTCATCTTGAGAAATTTGCTGTACTATGTAAGCTAAAAGATATTTAATGAAACTAAACTCTGCCAAGAAGCTTCTTGCGAACCAATCTCTTCTACTAAAATTTCCTCAGGTTCAATAGTTTGGGCATTCATTTTTATGCAATTTGATCCCGTCAGTTGGATTACTATTTGAAAGCTGATTCCAACTCTGATTCATGAAATTTGACTAAATGAAGTATTTTACTTTGAAGTAAGTTGACTCATTTTCTGTCTCTTCATGTCTTTACTTTAAAATAAGACTCCTTGCTTTGGTTATATCAGTCACGTAACAAATACTATTATATTAATGCAGTAAATCGTCTGAAAACCTCTTTTCGTCTTTTTGTTAATAACGTCACGTATATACAAAGAAGTCCAAATGAGTGTACCAGTTAGCACCTTAGGCAGCACCATTTTTCTGAGTTGGGTGCATATGCATGGATCGTTTTCTATCTTGGATAGTCATATCAATCCTAAGGAAATGAACAAAATAATACATCAGCAACAGGGGTGGGGTGGGATGGTTTGCATCCAACCACACCCTTCACCAGAGGTCTCGAATTCGAGCACCAGAAATGGAAAATTTCTTGGTAGAGAGTGTTTTACCTCCTTAGTTGGCCTACCCCAGGCATATCACGATTAATTGGGATAAATCATGATTACTCAAATGCAGATAGTCTTATCAAAAACAAAATCACAAACTTGAAGAAATATACTAGGAGAAATTGTTTAGTGTACATGATTTCAGTATCTCACTTCCCCATAAATATCTTAAATTTGCAAAGGATGTCTGCAAAATGAACCAAGGGAATAAAGCAAAGACTTCAATAGTACCCCTTCTACAACCAAAAGATACAAAGCTATTGCATCGTTTTATGCAGGTAATCCACCTGTTCAATTTGGTGTAAGGCCTGCAATGAATATTGCTCGGACTTTTGCAGTCGGGGGATTTCTTCAGTTTTTTTTTGAATGTTTCGTTAAACTCAAACAAGAGATATCATTCGGGTATAGAGTCACAGAGCTCGGAACGAAGCCACAAATACGTTACTCTTCAACTCATTAACAACCTCATGTGCAAGGTCCACCTCTATCACTTGCTTCAAACACTCCACTAGCTTTATAAATTATAGTTGGCCGTCTTCTCACCGAGCAACATCTTCGTATATTGAATTCTACGATCAGAGAGGGAGAAACCATTTATATATGTCATCTACTCTTCCGTTTTTCTGCAACATATTCGTAGTATTTTTCTTCACCATAAAGTTGCCTGAGAGACAATAAATATGCAGTTAGTAAAATATTAGGTGCCCCAGACCACCCAGAGGAAGGGTAAAAATGTTTGAGGAAGTATATGAAATCATATATCAAAGTAATTCAATCTAGGTATAGGTGACATGGCTTTATGTCAGCGCCAGCGCCTCGGAAGCAAATGAGCATGTACAACAACAACAATATCCAGTATAATCCCACCAAGTGAAGGTTAAATGAGCATGTACAACCAAGTGCTTGTTACTCCATTCTATGACTAAGCAATTTTTAAATATCAAACCGTGCTATGAGAAGTGTCCAAAATTCTTAGATAGTCGTACATACAGTATAACCCATCCAACTAAATAAACAATTCATCACTGACCTGAGCGATACTCACTCTATCCCAAACAAAAAGCAACATGCTCGACTGATCCTTCACCACGCCCATTTTGCAAAGAAAGATGATTAGCAAATTTTGTCACACCGTTCACAAATGAACTATCTATTAAACCACAATCTTCCTCTTTTTTTACTTTGGGGAAGATTGTCTTGGATAAGTACTGCTTCAGATGCAGCTTCCCATCCAAGGAAGAAATCTCTAGGGATGATATCTTCCAAATGCCCTCTAAACTCATTTCTGACCACTTACAGAGGGGTTGAAAAAGGTATCAATACTCTCTCTGTTCTCCTTACCTCCTACCCAAAGTAGCACTAACCACAATAACAAAGGCCCCGGGATAACATATTTCAGAACTAACTAGTCCAATCATTGTCACTTGACTAGTTCTATCAATATACAGCTTAAATGTGAAGAGTTGTAACAATGGAAATAGTAGTAAATGTTGTGGACTTATGAACCATGCCCAATGTTGGACAGATCTCAAAGTGAATAATGGTACAAGGATGAAAGAATGATTAAGAACCTCATGAATTGTAAAAGTCACCATGTCACCTTCTCAAAAGTTAAATCCTTGTTTCTATTGAGTCAGAAATTTTGAGCAACTGTTCAAATGAGCAAATAATGTGAATACGTAGAAAATAAAGGAAAGGAGAGAGGGTGAAGAAGATGTCTGTATATATTATGTATATACCAGACCACAGCATCCAAACTACCCATAGTAGGAATCAGAACACGAACATAATTCGGAAACTAACTGAACAGAAACTAAATTTTGCTCCGGACACATGGAACTACGGATAGAAGTAAGAGCAGCAGACAGTAAAACTTACGCTAGATCAGCCAAGGTATCCGATTTAATTACCGCCTGTCCCTCTGGGAGCCCAAGGGAAGAATACTGCATTATCATTTCCTTCAGGGTGTGCTTTGTGCTTTTGATATCATTATCCCACAGTATACTCTGCAACCAAAGCACCCAGACCTGTTACTTATATTTGCAGTGAAAAACATATAGGAAGCCAATGAGTTAATCCTTTTCACCAAACATATAGGAAGCCAATGACTTCATCATCTTCAATTTCAAACAAATGTTGAATACATTTTAGTCTATTTCACTAATACGCTGGATGGACAAAGTGGCTACTTAATTCAGAGTCTAATTTTAACATGTAATAAAGATTGATTCACATCTGATTTCACAGTCCTAATACCTTTCTGACATACTCTATTTTGACATCTTCCCGTGGTATTTTCCCCTCGGAAGAGAATATAGAAGCATTCCAAATGGCGCCTCTTGCAACCATCACAGATGAAGCACCTATAAAATAAAGTTGTTAAATGTTGCAAACTATAAGCAGAAACAACCATGTAGATATTCATAAAAACAGATAGAAAGACAATCATCAAGTTAATGAGAACAATGCATTTCACACACAGATTGTTCATTATTTGCTGTGTCAATAGGAAGCATGCTTACAAAGATTAATTTTGTATTTCTGGGGCATAAAATCTCTCTGATTATAGCTTTTTGAATTAGAAGCTACATTGCTCGGAACCTCCAAAAATATCATCACCCATGTCGGATCCTCCGGAAATGCATTTTTTGGAGGGTCTGACACGGGTGCAACGGCTTTTTTGGAGGATCCGAACAACATAGCTTAAAAGAGTTAATGGGCCTGAGCTGCAAGCATCCATGATGAATTTGTTAAGCAGTTAGAGGACCTATAAGACTTAGTTCAAGCAAATCAACCATCAACAATTTCGCATGAAGCTATTGTTGTTGCAGAGCTGTGCTAAAACTCCATTTTTAGTGCATTAACATGTTTGTTTTCCTTTAGGGAGAGGGAAGACAATGAAGAAACAAAGCTTCCATTTGACGATCAGTTGATGTTGGACCACATGTAAACCACAACAT